ACAGAAGTGAATTAACTCCCTGGATCCAGTTCTGGCTTTTGACCGAGGTGGCAGTCTCGTTCTCTGGCCTGACGTCATGATCTCTGCCCAAAAGCAGTTCGTGCTGCTGGTTAATCTACACTAACATCCACCCCGGTCGTGGATTCTAGCAGGAAGAAGCATGTCTACTTTGTTTCATTTCTAAGTGGCAGAATAATTAAAATGCTGGCAAAAGGAAAAAAGGGTGAATGAGGGTAGTTTGAGACCTAGGAGACTGGATATACCGTAGGGCTGGGTCCCCGGCAGCCCTAACGTACACTTTATCCTTCCTGATCTGAGTGGCTTCCATGTTATATTGTGACCATCTCCCATGGGTGTAGTTGACTGGTGGGGGGAACCCGGAGTGAATTCTAGGGGGCATCAGGGGACTTGATGTGCCTGTTCTGTCTGCCGGGGCTGGCACTTGGCTCCTTCTACACCTTTACTTTCCCTCGGAGGCCCCAGAGATTGCAGGGGGGGAGTACACTGGTCCCGCTGGAGGGCTTAACCTCTCGGAGCCTCAGTTTCATCTCTGCAGAAGAGACTCGTTGGAGTGGGATTGTTGAAAGGATTCAAGGAGAAAAAAAAACATTTAAAGCACTTAGCCCTGTGCCAGGCACTTAGCAAGCACTTAAAGAACAGGATTTGAAGCTATTTTGGACTTCTCAGTTCATCTAATACAGCCATCGCCATATTACACTGAAGGGAATGAAAAGCCAAGGGGTGGTCCCGTGTTCCAGGTCACACTGGCGGGGGGAAGAGCTGGGGTCCCATCCCAGGTCCCCTCGTTCACAACGTCTTTTTTCAGTGGACTCCACTGGATCTCAGGACTCACAGGGCTCAGCTGAGCTCTTCAATACATCACATTTCTCAGACTTTGCACCTTTGCCCCCTCCAACTGAGTCTTCACGCTCAACATCCGCTCAGTCCCTAAATCCCATTCATGCCCCTTCCAAAATATCCTGCAAAAATGCCTCCTGTTTTCCTGCCACATGGCCATTGTGGCTGCTGCTCGGTCTGGAAGGTTCTCCCCTCCTCCTTACTCATGGCCGGCCCCTTTAAGTTTCAGCTTCATGTCTCCTCCTTGGGGAGATGGGCCAGGGCCATCCCAGATGAGGGAACACCGCTCCTGCCTTCTCTCCGTCTCCCTCCCTCGCTCCAGTTCGTGGCCTGTACAGCAATGCCCTCACTCTATAGTTTCCTTTCCTTTTAAATTCAGTCTCCTCTTCTAAACGTGAGCTCCCAAAGGACAGGGAACATGTCCTCCTCGCTCACGGCTGTGTCTCTAGCACCTGGCACAATCCACGACACACAGGTGCTCGGTAAATATATCCTGGGTGAAGGAATGAATGAAAGAATGAACAGATTCCAGAAACAGCCTATTCGGTAACCCCTGGATAGGACCAAGGAAAGGATTTTTAACTTGCTGGGAGAGGGACCTGGACACCTGCTTGTCCCCGTTCTTGGCCCCCTAAAAGAACAGCGCAAGGCTAACCCACCAGACAGGGACTCTTCCAAGCAGGCAACCCACACAAAAGCACATCTTGCAGTCGGGGGAAATGGGCGGATAGTTGCTAATTGCGACTTCCAACTGGGCTGATCTTTCAAAAGTTCGAAAGGCGCCTGCCTCCAGAAATCCCAGGCTGCTACTGCTGCTGGGGCTGGAGAGGGAGGAGAGGAGGGCTGCGCCTGGGCGCCTCTCTGGCTGGCACGCAGAAGCCACATCTCCTACCCCTCCCTTCCCCCCTCCCAGCTCCTCTCCAAGAGAGGAAGCAATGCAGATGGAGACGAGAAATAAATATTCCTGCCTGCTCTGTGCCACTGCAGACGTCTTCCAAAATGTCTGGCTTGGACCATGAAATCAAGCCCACCCAGGAAAGGAGGCGCTCAGCAGGAGAAAGAGGGGGAAAAGGGTGGCATATTTGTCGGTACTTGTCAGCTTTCTGGGGGACAGAGCACATGGCTCAGACTTGGCAGCCCTGCTGAGGTGGGGACGTGGTAAGTGCACAGTAATACTTGAAGAACTAAATCCGAAATGGGAGCGGAGTTAAGGAAATCCTGCCAGGGTGTCGGCACCATCTCTAGGCCTTTGTCCAGGGTCCCTGGACCCACAGCTGGTTCTCTTATCCTTGACTTCAAGCCTCTTTCCACAATACCGGCTGCCTGTGCTCAGCCCTCACACCCCGACTCCACTCGGGGGTAATTAACACAAATGGGCTGCAGGGAAGTCTTCAGAGGCCCCTGGAAATTTGGGCAGGAGCTCAAATGCACGCGTGGAGAGATTCCTGCCACCTCGAAGTGCAGCCTGCGTTCTCCAACACTAGAACACCAGCGGGGATGGGAACACAGGCTGCAAATGATAAGTGGGTGCTTTTGGCCTTGGGGGAGCCAAGTGTGTGGGAGAAGTGTCACTAAGGAAGGGAAGTTACAGGCCCAGCAACAGCCCCTGTTCTGAGGTTCTGGGGACTTCAGGAGGCCTGCTGTGCGGCTGCAAAATGTCTCCGAGAAGGGAGATGAGAGGATGAGAAATTCAGCTGGAAAGCTCCTTCCTGCAGGAAGGTGCTAGGTCTTCTTTGTTTCCAACCTCCCGTGAGCATCTCCCTGGTCCCTGGTCCTTGATACGGCTGCCGCCGGACCACCTTTCACTAGTTCCCCTGGTAAGTCAGTCATTGGTGGGGGGTTGTGGCGGGTGGGGGGGAGCGGCTTGGTGGACTGAATTCTGCTAGATAAAGAGCAGAGGGGCTTTTCTGGTTTGTACTGGTTCAAATCCAGGACCATAAAAACAGTTGCCTAAAGTGAAGACTCAAAGAAAGTGGTATCTTTTGTGGGTGTCAGGGGAACATTTTCCAGAGATGCTGCGTCTAATTCTGCCTCATTTCACCATTGCCATGACTTCACTGAAGAATGAAAGATTATCTAATATTTCCCACTCATGTGCCCTGAATCCTTCTTTATAACTCTTCCCCACTCATTTGCCCATCTGCCTCCTAGTGCCAGGCAATTGCCAGCTGAATCCCACTCTCTCCAGGAAGCTGTTCGTTCAGTGGTGGGGAGAAGCTGGCAGAAGACCTGGGTTCCTGTCCCCAGTCTTCTCATGGCTGTGTGACCTTAGACAGCTCACTCCCCCTCTCTGGGCCTTGGTGTTTTTTCTTTATCAAAGGAGTGGGTTGGACAGGTTTCCTTTCCACTGTGACACATTATGGGTGGTTCTACTGAGTGACTCGATAGAATTCCTACTGTCATCATCTTCTTCCTACCCCACCTTCACCAATTAATTCTAGGGACCAAGGTCATCACATTTTCAGGATTGAGTTCAATCCGTATACTTGGGAAGATCAGAGCTACGTATCAGAAAAAGCTGGACGTGTAGACCATGTGCATATACACAATCCAAAAATTGCTTTAAATGTTTGCTGGCTACATTTTCCCTAATTCCTAGGAAATTTAACATGTGGGTTAGGGAAACACCAAAGTCGGGTATGTTTGGAAAGAACTACGTGCACTTATGTCCGCACTGTACAATAATCATATTTGTTACCTTTTATTAATAAGAGCTGCCATTTAGTGAAGCCTCTTACGTGTTAGGATGACGCTAAGCTCTATCGACACTTACATCATTATCCTCACAACAGCTCGTTACGGATGCATGACCCACTTCCCACTCACAAACAACATTGCTAGGTGACCACCATGAACACACAACCCAGAAACAAAGTGACACAATGGTACACCTCCCCCAAACCAAAACCAAGTCTCAGAGAGGGTGAGACACCTACTCTAGATCACACAGCTGGACAATATTGGTAACAGGGTTTGGACCCGGTTCTGTTGGATTCCGAAGATGAGGATGTGCTACTCACTCCCTGGGCCTCGTCTTGGCACTGAGAGCCTCTCTAGGGGATTCTTCACACCATAAGGCTGTTTCAAAGACCAGAGACGGTGAGTCCTAAACTGACTGCCTTTCCTCTGGTGCTGTCACAGGAAAGCAGCTGGCCTCAGAGCCAGCAAGAACCCTGCCATCAGAAATGGCAGGACAGCAGGCAGCTGCAGTCCGCCTGGCACAGGAGCGATGGGAGAACTGGGCCCCCACGAAGCAGCCCGTGGACAGCGACCACCTCCGGTGATCACTCACCTACACACAATTCGGCGGGCTTCTGCCCAACACCTAACTCACTTCCAGCCCCACGCCCAGTTCTGCCCAGAATCAGAAGTTCTCAGCACGCGTACAGACTGGATCATCTGCTCGAGAGGGCGTAAACTCCAGCACCCCCAAACCCAGGCAGGTACGTGAATGAGCGAAACAGCCAGGAAGGGGCTGCCGGGAACTGACAAACACGCGTCTGGTCCGTGGGGATGACCCGCCGCAGCCGCCGCGGACTGGTGCGCTGCGCCCATGCAGACCCAGCGCTGCCGCCCGCCCGCCCTACGGAGACACCCTGGAATACGAACATCTCTGTGAGTTCTCTCGATTCTTAAATGCGGGCCACTAATTCAGGAAAGAACGCATACCCGATGCAGTGAGGACCAAATCAAACCTATTTACAAGCTCTGTCTGACTTGGAAGGCTCCATCTGTAGCCTCTAACATTAATTCTCCTCATTTGCAGATGACAAAGCTGTACCCCGGAAACATGAAGTGATCTCCCCGAGACAGCTAAGGTGGGTGCAGGCCGGCAACCCTCTCTTTGGATACATATGTACATACATATAGAGACATACGTGCATCTGTGCACATACCTATACATACATACATGTTATATAGCCACAAATGAAAAAGAAAGGATTTGGGATTACGCATTGTCTGAAATGTTCTGCTCATTCTACTGGTGTCACGATTACACATCGGTAGTTAATGTAAAAACTGCAATTAACACAATACACAAACCAAAACCCAAATGATGCAACACAACAGCCCCCCCTCCCAGAAACCCAAACCCAAACCCAAACTAGAACAAAAACCAGAAAAGAAAGCTCTTTACTTACGGTAAACGACAGAAAGGAAGAAAACAAAGTTCCCTCGTCATATCTGGATAATTTTGCCAGCACTCCTTCCAAGATTGTCACGAACTAGTAAAACAGCAAAAAAAAAAAAAAGGAAAAAGAATGATTACTTCAAACTGTGACTGTTCACAATAAAGAGCAGCGTTTCCCAACCGCCCGGAGACCAGCAATGAGCCCTCGCTCATGTTCAAGTTCTATTATTCGGTTCCCGTCTTTGGGGAAAGGAATAGACTCCCTTCACATAGAAATATTTGACTTATTCGGCTTTCTCTTCATTATTATGTGATTGCAAATATAGAGTGTTACAGAAGTGCAAAGTGACAAAATATTATTGAGTTGCATCTAGCACGCGATAATATTAAATGCACTTTTCAAAATCCAAAACTGCGCAAAGCAGTTTTTACGTTACATATTAGCACTACATTTAATCCAATCTATTTTTATTTGTATTTTATCAGTAATTTGGGGGAAACAGAAGTTTAGCACTGGCAAATATAAATGTCTTCCCATTCAGCATTACTTAGTTAAAATTCTATAATTCATGAGGGTGACTGAAATAGCTTTATCTGACTTTTCTGTTTTATTATGACTCTCACTGCATGTGAAACTAGGGGAAAGGGGGTTTTCAGGATGGCAGAATTCCTTATTACCGTTTAACTTTCTGTTTTGAAAAAAAAAATCTAACTTTGTCAATGCCGAAAAACAAAACAAATTTCTTTCGCATAACCGAGTGCAATGTTTGGGGCCAAATTCTTATTAAGGTAACCTATGTCGCTTCATCAATTTATCTTCACACGGCTTGCAATCATCAGAAAAAATCATTCGGCGCTGAGGATGGGTGACGTACAGTCTTGTTTCCTGAGAAATACAAGTCCCCAGCGCAACTTTTTAACGTGTTACATTTTAATGGAAATGCAGACATAACAAAGCAATGTTCACAATGAAACATTTCACCTGGAGCTGAAGGTTACCTTTGCAACCAGGAGTGTTATCATTTCTTTAACAGTTTCTTCAATTAGTTCGTCTATTTTTGAATGGTACTGATGCTAAAGAACACAGAAAGACAAATATTAGCATGTTTGAGAGGTGATGGCATTGCGTCTGCCGGTAATTTTTAGACAACGCAATTTATAAATAAAGCCTGGCCTGCAGACCCAGTTTATTTCTATAGTCACAGAAGCAGCTGTAAGATTCTGACTCCAGGTTTTTGATGAAGGGAGATTTGAAGCTCTTAAAAAAATTACCAGGCGCATTCTTCCTCACCCAAAGCTTTTGCTGGCTTTGACATGTGTAGACACACACACATTTACAAACAGCAAGCATAGATGGCTTACTGGTCTGGCTGTTTGCTGATCTGGGTCTGATAAAACAAGATACCACGATGATTTAATAGAGGGGATGAAAATTATCTTTGGGAAACTGCTGGGGGATGTGACTTACGGAGTCACAAATTCCAAAGGGAATTTGACCAAGATACTGATTGATTTTGCAAAACGTGTTCTCAAATCATCAGATCTTTCTGGTTAATGCCTGAGAGCTCCCCAGTTCTGTCTCCAGGTGTTGACTCAGTATGGTAGCAAAGTGTCTCTTTCTGAACCCTGTGTCAGCCACACATTTCCTTCATTCGTGGAGAAGCAGACCCAGGCTTAGAGCCTCTCCTGAGACGGCTGCTAAGTTTTTCAATTTCTCTAACTGCTGCTGTCAATTAAACTTAAACACTAATGCAAAAACAAACCCCCACATAAACAAAAATCTGCTGTAGTTGCCAGGAAAAAAGAAAAAGCGATTTCAACAGAAGATACCGTATGCCAGCTCCTTGACATTTATAAGATCACTTTAGTATCCATTTGAATTATTCCATATTTCCTTAATAAAAAATAACAATGCAAAACATTGCTATTTGGAAAGGAAAAATACACTTACCCACTCTTTAGCAAACTTTCAGAAGGATGATTAATGAGGAATGGAGAAGAAAAAGGAACAGTGCAAATAAAAATTAGGACAAAAGGACACGTGAGACAATCAAAATTAAACCAACCATCCAAAAAGCTATGAACACAGACAGAAATAATAAGCCATAGTAATGTGGTTTGATATTCTGATAACTGGCAATCGAAAGCGAGCAAAGGGATGTGAATGAGGTTAATTCATTTAAAGTCATGGGTGACGTTTTGATTGTAATTGGAAGACCTAGATAAAGCCCCAGGGCAAAGATGGGAAGTCATGATGCCTAAAAAAATACAGCTCAGTTTCCTCATCTGTAAAAAACAAACAAACAAACAAACAAAAACCCCCAGATAATTCTACTACCACCCAGGACCAATGAGAAGGGGAGGAAAGCCAGGACAAATGACTGATTTTGGAAAGGGAATGAGGCAAATCTTGCATGAAGATACTTAGCAAGTTTGTTCTGTTTTAATACTATCACCATTACATTATTAGTGGTACTAGTATTTAAAAACCAGAGTGAAGTCCTTTCCTGGCAGTCCTACTCTCAGGCTCTTAGATCTGTTTTGAAGATCAAATTGAGGGTCTAGGTGTGAAAGCATTTTGCCAACTATAATTGCAATTCAAATATTATTTGTTGAAGGTCAAGAAGATAAAGGTAGGGAGAGGGCGTCGCCTTATTGCTCAGTCATCTCACTGTAGTTTCCTTTTAGCTGATTAGAGGAAATGGCCCACATTCTGTCCTGATGAATCAGGACCCATCATGTGTCTACTGCTGGCTTCATGAAAGGATTTACTTGTAAGTGGCAGAAACCTGAAGGTCAGCGTGAAAACTATCTGCAGAATTCTGCGCCCGAAACACAAAGAAAGATGTCAGAGCCAAAGAATTCAGAAATACTGACACATTCCTGGGCTCCCAATTCATCTTTCGGTCTTGAGATAAGATTCAGAATCACCTTCCCTCCGCAGGTGACTGCCTCACTTTGCTAGATTTTCTTTGGAATTGCTGTATATGATTCACATTTATTAAATTAATTAGGAGGCTTCACTGACTCAGAAAAGCTAGTTGCAGGCAAAACAATATCATATGAAATATTAGGTGAGGGGCTTCTAACCAAGCAAAGAAGGGAAAAATCTCTTGAAACACTTGGCCGAAGTGGCCAAGGGAGCCAAGAGCGGTCACACAATGCACCAAGAAAGATGGAGACTCTTGGTCTGAGGAGTTAACCATGGTCACCCTTTCTTGAAAGATAAACAACCTTTTCATCCTCCAAGGAATCCAAACTGAAGTATATGGAGACGTGGGGGTTTATGGGAACCTCTTCCTATCTGCAATATTTCCATGCCAAACACGGCCCACCTTCCCTCCATGCGGTCCCACTGCACCTCCCTTTCTCTCTAAGTGAATAATATTATGATCTCCACTCCTGTCAATCTCTACTGGTCTATTTCTCATCTCCTCCACGTGGCTAGAATTACCCCTGTTGGGAATACAATCATCATCTCCACCTAATGGAGTAATGAAACCATGCATGGAAACATGGTTTAGAAACTCAGAAGTGCCACCCGTCAGAATGACTATTACAATTACTAACTGATTAGCATGGTAATTACATGTTTGCATACATTTCTCTAAATTCATCTAAAATCTATACACTTCATTGTATGTAAATTATAACCCGAGTTAAGTAAAACCTACTTTGGGAAAGACAGGTGGTCAGGGTAATATCCACTCTGCTTATCATGTGGCAAAGGGGTACATGTCAAAGCAGCCCCCATTCCTATTCAAGTGATTGCAAAACACATGAATTTCCTTGATCAGGTTCTCCTGAGACTTAATTTGAGGGATTTGCTTTTCTGGAGCAATAGTGAGTACTCTGCTTTCGCTCCACTCTTTCTTAGGAGATACATTGCTCCATGCACATGAAAAGGTCCATAAAGGAGACAGAAATACTACTGGGGCATCTTTTACTTACCACCCCCTTAACTAAACTATCTTGTCAGAAAATTTCTTGCAGTCATATTTCTTGCAGTCTATCTGCCTTCTAATTTGGGAACCAAGAGGGATCCTTTCTATTTTTGCATTTTCCGTTCCTCTCTGTTGGCCTTCTTAGGTTGCCTTGACCCTCATAAAAATAACAATATCCTGAAGTTATATTCTGGGGCACTACATGCTGGCGATCGCAAGGAAACTACTCATCTTCAATGGCATGGAAAGTTTTCAGACTTTACTTTTGCTACTGACGAGCTCAGTTGCAACAAACTCACAATCACTTTGTGAAAATTATTCCACTCGACTTCCTGTGCTGCACATTTTGCCTTGTCATGGAACAGATTGTGTGTATGTTGTCTTTCTGTTAAGACCATCTGACCTTGGAAATGAGATGAAAACACACTAGACCAAGTGAGAAACTATTTAATACACAATTTCCCCTCTATGGGTGCCTTCACAAATTTTAATGAACAAATAAATATTTAAGATGGAAAAGTATGGTTAACAAATGTTGCAACAGCTGCCTTTAACTGCGACTTCACCCTAGGGATGAAATTCAGGAAGTGATCTTAAAATTGGAGACTACTGTGCCACCTGGTTGGTCTCTAGCCCAAAATACCGTGAGGGAGTTGGAACCCAGGTGAGAGCAGGTGTTAGTAACTAGATCTATAATATGAGTTTATGATCCAATATCACAAAGTGAAAACTACATGAAAACACTGGGCTTTTCTCCTCCCAGTTTCATGATGTTTCTAGCCACCCTTGGCCAACCTCATTTTAACAATTCAGTTTCGACTTTGGAGATGAATATCCCCATTCTACAAAGTGAGAAGAGGGAAGGAGAGACCATTTGCAGGAACTTCTCCATGACAGTTCTACTCAAGGTCGCAGCCACAGAGCAAGGTCCTTCAGAGGAAGTATATATTTACATATGTACTGGCTTCATTCTGACTGTCCTCAGTCACTTGGCATTTTAAGGTCAGAAGAGGCCTCATTTCTCACAAGCTGGTCACTTATGTGCCTCTGATTCAACTATACGAAAGGAGAAATGGCCCAGCAAGTCTCTGGCGTGGCTTGAGAAATGGATAGGCTTAGGGTAAGAATCACAGACCAGAACACAGTACTGGATGGCCCTTCACAAAGATCATTTAATCTGGGGGGGGGGGTGTGAACTAGTTTAGGCAACATGGGATATGTTTATCAGTCTCAGCTAATGTTTTCATTAAAAAAAAACCCCAATATGTTGAATCATCGGGGAGGGGGGTAACTCATGAAGTCTTTTCTACTCTATCAAATAGAACAATGTCCAGAAAGAAGTAGTCACTGCCGTTTTGCCTCAAAAATGTTACTATTTGGGGAATATCCAAGCCAGCATTCTCATCTTACATCCAGAAATTAGGAAGGCTTATCCCCAAATTTGACAAGCCACATACCTCTCTAAGGTTGTAAGTTGCATGCTCTCTCTCTCATGAGACACACGATGACAGCAAGGTTATGAGAGTAAGTGACTTGCTCAACGTCATACAGGTTGGTAGCTAAGGTGTGGAGTCCATGTGATGTAGGGATTAAGCCACTGGGCAATTTATTCTAGAAAATCAAGACTTCAAGTTTAAGCCAAGGTCATTCTACTCTAGCACAGAAGTGGTGAGTGGCAAAGATAACAGACAGGGTCCACTGGGACAATATCCACTTGTGATTTCTCAGTACCAACCAGCAACTATAGTTTGGCCTACCAAGGTCCACCCACAGGTCCCCTGCCATTACACAGTGAAATTGTATGGAAGTATTTCCCCCCTGAGATATGGCTTCATGCATTTCATCAGATTTTCTGACCACCTCCCCTCCAGCCTACCCAATCCCGTCTACTCTCTCCAAAGCCCAGTTTAAAAAAAAAAGGTCAGAGTGATGGGGCTTCTTTGATGGGATTGTTTAGCCGTCTGCTCAGGTATGTGGGAGCTGTATAAACACGGCCACAACGGAATCAGTCTGAAGAGAGACTGTAAAAGCTACCAACCCTGCCCTACTGAGAACGGTGTCATTCTTGTGAAACTCAGTTAAAGCGGACATCTCAAGCAGCTGGGAGGGAAAAAGACAAA